CTCTAACAGGTAAAATTATAGATGTTCTCTTTTTTGCAAAATCACGAAAAAAACTTGTTTTTTTTTGTGATTTTTTTCCAAAATCAAATAAAACGAGCATATCTATTAAAGGATTTAAAAGATTTTTTTCGATTCTCTACACGCCTGAAGTTTGACTATTTAAATTTGGAACATCCATCTCCGTGATTTGTTTAGTAATATTTTACCATAAAGCTCCCAGGAGACGATAGGTGCGACGCTTATCCCGCATTGAAACACCTTCTGTTCCGGATGAGCCAGAACAAGAGCGGCAACAAAACCACCGTAACTCCATCCCCAAACTGCGACTCTTCGTTTGTCCACAAAATGCAGAGAGTCTCTTAAGTACCTGGACAATTATAATCTTATTGAGAATAATAATAAGTCTTGTATGTGTGTACTCTACAGAAATTTTATATGTCTAAACTTTAACAAATTGGATTGAATATAAGAGCTAAAAAATAACTAATTAACTATATTTTAATTTTTTAAAAATATATCAATTACTCTGTAACTTCAAGTTGATCAGCCACTTCAACAGAACCTAGTCTGTAATACACCTCATGTAATAATTTGTAGCCTTGTCCTCCGCTTCCTCTGCCATCAATTTGTGCGACAATAACATTTCTTCGACTAGCCAAATATGTATTCCAGTCCACTTTAAACATTTCAGTGACTAATTGCGACCCAGGAGCACCGTATCTGAAATAGTGAATACTGTTGTGTATAGACAAATCTGTAAAACAGATAACTTTAGGATCCCATTAAAGGTGATACACAATATATTTTTGACTTACACCTGAACCACCAATGGATAACGTGTAATCTCATCTTCTCTTAACCCTGGTGGTAAATGCAATCTCACTTGGGCGTTGTACCCACCACTTATCTGCACAGGAAATGTTTTTACCTGTGGAAGTGCGATGTTTGCTATTCTTTCCTGTAATAAACATTTATAGAATTATATAATATTTGGCACATTTTTTAGAAAATAAAATTAGCAGGTATTTATGAAGAAAATATAGTGGTATATTTGCATGTACCTATATATATCTATAGATATATATATATATA